AAAGCTTGTATTAAACATTGGCTTGACAAAAAATCAGAATGTTATACATGTCGAAAAGGTGGAATCTCTTCCAAAGTGCTTCATCCTGCTAGTCGTAGTGTGATACAAATGCTTGACAAGATCCTTGTTCGATGTTTAGCTTGTGATGAAGAAAAGATTCCACGAGGCGAATTTACCAGTCATTTGGAAAATCATTGTGTCTATCATCCACAGAAATGTATTGCTAGTGACCTTAAATGTCCTTGGGTTGGATTACGGAATCAAATAAAATCTCATCAAGCTGTTTGTGTTTTTGAAATGTTGAGACCAGCTCTTGAAGACATAATGACACGACTTCAAGCTATTGAGAAAGAGAACAAAACTCTTCGATCTGAAAATCACGATCTAAAAGAAGAACTACTAGTGTTGGAACGAGAGTATAATCAGTTAGAAAGTACAATGAAGAACAATAACGAACATAGTCATTCACAACATACAGGTATTCTAATTTTCTTTATGTTTTCAAACTATCAGCACTAAATGAAGCATACTTATATTGTCTTGAGGGAGATCAAAATGAAGAGACAATTCAAGACAATTGACTGTTTGTTTCTAGTATGCATGAAATCTATTCTTTCACATTTCTAATATACTTTTCAAATTTTGATTTGTAATGTGTGAATGATAATTTGACAAGTTCAATTCGATATATCAGTATTTAAAGTTGAAGTGCTGCTTAACATAGTTTGACTTACTTCTTATTGAATAATGTACTGTAGTTTCATATGCAACTTTCGATCCTAAATATATCATTGACATGTATATCAATTATTATTTATTCTCATTGATTAGGTAATAACGGCTCGAAGTCTAAAAGATCGAATGGTCATGCAACCGACTCTCGAGACAAGCATAAGCATATGTTTAGTAGTGACGATGATAGAGACGAATCAATGCACAACATGGGTGCTCATTTGCCAACTGTTCAAGAGGTAATTGTGTCAGAATAGATTGTATTTGTTGTCTCTAGTGAAAGACTGAGACGATTGACAATGTTTTCTTATGATTCGTATAAACTTTGGATAAAGAAAATATTTGCTGTAATTGAAAGCTTATATGGCAAAGTAGAAATTTTCCTATATATATTTTAAAAGTCTTCGAAAATTTGTTTTTGCTATGAAAAATTGTGTTTTTCATTTTGATGTATCTGAGTGACTCGATAAATACTATATTCATAAGGGATCCCGATTCTAAGTTTCAAAACCACTATGGGAGTATCAATCTGTTTCCAAATGAAATTTTGATTAGACTGCTGACTTAAAAGAAAATGATCACCATGGTCTGAGTTGTCCTTTTTGATATTTTTTGAAAAGGTCGGTTCTAAAAAGTTTTCGTTATAACCAACATTAGATCTTTTCTCGAGCAAGTTTTAATTCAATGAACTCGTAATTAGAACTTCTGAAAATAACAAGATATAAAATAGACACATTGTGCATCTGTATGATCTGGTTTTGATTGTAGGAACGTGCTGCTACGTTGCATAAACATGCATAGATGCTAATTGCTATTCTTAAACAACAAATGGAAACAAACATTCACAACGTGAATACTGTCAAGAACCGACAACAACCATGATAATGAATGAACTTGTTTTTTTTTCTTGTTATTTTCCCTTTTTTTGCAATTTAAACAATACTAAAAGCATCGAGCGACACTATTAATTAGTAACAGTTAGTAAGTTCCGAAGAGTATAACCATGAAGTATCGCGATCAAACTTTAGATCTGGCTTTTCAATAACTAAGGAGTCTGATTAGATGTTTATTGAATTGAGTCCTTGAACATTTTTTTGTATGGTATTACAAGGATGTGGGTGTAGGTGTGGTTACAGTTGTTCCCTTTACACATCCACACTCTCATACAGATTACGGATATACGATGTTATAGTCTGATGCACACAGTTATCCATCGAATAGTAAGATCAATAGAAATTTAAATAATATTTTCTTAAGGAGTATCCCAAAAACATTATGTTTTATGAATAAGAAAACAGCTCTTGAACAGTAATTAGATTAACGGAGTCTTGTAAAAGAAAAGTTAACTCTTTATAATGCACACCTAGATCATTGCGCCAAAATCTAAGAATAGTTAGCACTTTCGGCTATTGTCTCCTAAGCCACAAACGTAACTTACCATTCAGTCTAATAGCCGACTCGATACGTTCCTGCCTTAAATCAATACCATATCAACATAGAACCAAATCTTGTTGTTTCTTTCTTATTCAACAACAAAAAATTTGATGCTTAAACGTTTTTACCCAAACTCTTTATGCAATCATGTTACGTGTGTGAGTGTGGATGAGCAATCAAAGATAAACTGAACATCTTTATTCTTACACGCGTTCAATCAGATTTAGGATGGGTGATATGAAGACAAAATACTTCATAAACATAAAAATTACACTAGTGTGATTCATTGTGTCACGTTAGTTCTATTCCTTCAATCGTTCTTTCTCCAACATTATTTGCTCTACATTTTTGAATTAGATTATTGTTTTTTAGATGATGTTGTTCAATCTTAATTTAATGCTTTTCTTACGGCAAATAATTTGATTGTGAGAAAGTTTAAGCGGTTTTTTGCAGAATCTAAAAATAGGATTGCTATACTTAGTTTACATTTGAGAGCCTAATTTCAAGTGTGATCAAAACTCTAGCAAAGTACAAGTGATGTAGTATTTTAAACTCTTTTGTCCATTTACTCTACAACAAAGAAAAAAACAGAGCACTATATTAGAACGGCGAACAATATCGAGTTTGATGAGAGCGTAGTGATGAAAATAATTGAATTACATTATTGAAAAATTCAAGTATTCATCATGTTTCTTTGGATGCAGCATAAAAATGAAAAAAAAAACCTTTAAGAGATGATTAAAGAAACAGACGAAAAAACATAAATGTTTATGATGCAAAAGACCAATGACCAGTATCAAGCTGTAGTTGGAAAGCATGCCACAACTTAATTATCGATATTCGTCACCACAGTCACCAATAATCCGATACAAATCTTGTGATTTTCGAGATATTGCATCTATCTTTTCATTATCGTCGGCATCAAGATTGAATTCAAATACTTTGGCGTTGTCTTGAAGATGTTCGCTTAACCCTAGTCTAGCACCAATAATTACACCGCCAACTGTGGGCTTGTCTAATATGTAACGCACAGCGACATTAGCGATGCTGACACTATGCTTATTTGCAATTTGTTTGAGAACAGTAAGTAATTCTTGAAATAATTGCCATCCTCCCCACTTATCGACCATATTCTTGTATTTTTTCAAACTTATAGTTGTTAACTCTCCAGCTCGTGGTTCTGGTTTGCCGAGGTACTTATCTGATAACAAGCCACCGCAGACTGTACCGTACGTTAGCAACTTAATATTATTTTGCTGACAGAATGGTATCATATGTACTTCTGGACGACGGTCTATTATAGAATATTGTACTTGATTAGAAACAATTTTAATACCAGCTTCGTGAATTATTTTTAAACGCTCAGTATCAAAATTCGTTAAACCCAAGTGCTTAATTTTGCCTTCTTTCTGAAGTTCCGAAAGATATCGCAAAGCATCGAGGTAACTATTGTCGCGATAATCCCACCAATGAAACTGAAGCAAATCGATGGATTCTACACCCATCCGTGTCAAAGACTTGTTGATGTTTTCTTCAACCAATTTTTTTGTTATTTTTGTCGGCTGAGGCACCCATTTAGTGAAGATTTGTAGATTATCTAGAGCTGCTTTACCACGAATAGCGAGTAGCTGACGTCTAAATTCACCCATTATATCTTCTGCTGGACCATAAATATCTGCTAAATCCCATGTAGTCAAGCCGGCATCCACATAACGAAACATGTCTTTTATGGCAGCTGTTCGATCAATATGTCCATGGCCTCCACTTACTTGCCAGAGTCCATTTAAAGTGCGACAAATGTTCATGTCGGGCGTTAGCTGTAATCGACTCAATGTGGATAATGCCATTCCAGGAATTCTAATGCGAGACAGATCAAATGTAGTCGGCAAAAAAATTTTGGTTCACTCGATAACTGATCTGAAATGTTATGAAAAACGAGATGGTACCTATCACGACTAGTCATCGTTAGAAACAAAACTAAACACTTGTTATATAGAATGTAAAAACAGACTACGGTATTCAATTCCCCAGTTTACTGTAAACCTGAATTCATGTGCTCGAATCTATTTTATGCTTTTTGATAGTTTCCGAATTATAGAATACTATAATGAAATATCTTTTTTTTGTTCATGTTCTGATCAATTGAAGCTTATATCAAAATAGATGGAGTTGAACCACTTTCTTTTATTACCACACAATATCTTCTTCCTATACCCTTATTTCAAACAACAGCTATTTGAAAATGAGCTACTTTTAATAGTATTTGTGGTTGTAAAGATTGAATATCAAATGTATCAGCTATGTATTTTCATCAAACAACTGATATCCCTATATGAACCCATACACTACGCTATGATATTTTCTCTATTTTTTAACTTTTTCAAATTCCTCACTTGAAAATAATTAAAGAAAACTAATAACTGTATATGGTTTTTTTACCGTCATTCTAATGCTGCATATATCTATAAAGATACAAAAAGTGAAATAAATAACTACTAATATTATCTTAAGATGCCAACAATCCAAACGGAAATGACTTTTACATTATTTTTATTGAGGTAACGTTTGCATACACTTTGATGAGATGACGACGAATGCATAATTTTAAATGTTGTAGACTAATGTTTTAGACACGAACTAAACATAACCCAGTAAGGGATTGATGTCTAGCTGACTTTATTGTTGAATGTCTCTTCAATGAGACTATTTTGAAAATTTCTACTAGAATGTGTTAGTATGCATTTTTTACGAATTGATAATGCCAAGTGTTTGCCTTCATTCGAACCGCTGAAACTCAAGGCTTTGAAGTGTGCATTTATTCGAAAACGAAAATAGAATTTTTCGGTGTTATCAACTAAATCTTACAACAAAATTCTTGTATTTAGTAATTTTTGAACATCATATGCTTATGAAGAAGTAAACTAGATGTCATACACTGATTGTGTCTTATTGATAGATAAAAATAACGTTAAAAGGGTTTTTTTTTTCAGTTCCTAGTGTACATTATGAAAAGAAACGTAGCGTAAGAAACTGTATAAAACGGTTTATTATTTGATACTTTTTTTTTTATAGTGAATGCCCTTGGAAATTTACGTGATTATTGTTAGAAACAAATCTAATAATACATAGTAATTACAAGTAGAAAGAACTAACATACTATAATAGGTAACAAACATAAGCTGTATAATGGATTTACTAAGTTGCTGACACTGAAAGCCAACATATTGAACAAGGAAACTATTTGTGAAACGTTGCAACACATCAAACTGATAGACATCAGAACCGACGCTAACGGCTGACGAACTAGACTATTAAAGTAAATATAGAAAATAGGAGGTGAAACTGAAGAGGAGCACTTAGAAGTGAAAATATGAGTGCAAGACAAAAATCTACAACGAAAAAACAAGTAAATAATTATAAATCGCTATGCTGAGAAGAGTTGGTTTATAGTGTTAGTAGAATGTGATAAAAGCTGACATTTATACGAAAAGAATTCAAAGACAAATAACAACAAATGACTCATTCTAGTCCCATCCTACCTAGCAAGTTTAGTTATGTCTCGAACCTCATCTTTATTATCAAGTTTTGAGAAAGAAAAAAACATGCTGAATGTGAGCTTTTGCGCCTGAATTATGCTCCTAACTTATCTTACCATATCCTAGAATCCATGTATGATTCAGAACAAAAAAATTCTGATTGGCGTTTGCTACTAGGCAGTCTTGCATCTAAATAAAAGATGTCAGACAAGTAAGACATAACTATCGAATAAGATATTATATGTGTAACTTAATAAATCTCAATTTTTTTCATGTTATGACTCTTGCAAATGAAAACAGGAATGGTATCAGGTATCGAATAGTTGTATACCAAATGAAGTCCCATGCACGACAGAAAAATGCTTGTCTAACTATTTTCAAGTTTAGTATCGTTAAAACCAAACAAAAGAGAAAACTATCGAACATGCTTCGTGTTATGGTGATGTTTATTTTTTTAAATAAGACTGCTTGAAAGATCTACTAAAAAAATACCAATGATTAATCTCGGCAATGTTGCAATCTAGAATTCACGACGACATTAATGTTTCATCAAAATAGATGAAAAGTTCAGAACAAACGCATACTGTCATTAAAACAACGATATCGGAGATAGGAACGTCAATCTGATTAGAACTATTCGGTTCAGCGTGCTATGTTCGGCTATTGAGGGTGTGGATGTATAGGTGCTATCTTCATTCACACTCTCAAGACAAAACACTATCTTACATATTGATCGAAGAATGCCCTTAGATCAAATGAAGATACATACAAAGAAGACTAAGCATTGATTGTATGTATCATACTAATCTTATTGTAAACCTTAAGATGGAAAAATCAACAGAGTAACAATTATTCTGATGGTCTATAATTCTTTCATTGATAATATTAGAATATTTGATTTTATGAAGTCAATGGATTGAGTAGATATTAAAAAAGATAAAAATTCAAAACATATTGTAGAACTGATTCATCAATGTTTAACATCACAAATAAAAGCCACATCTGCACCACTTGGTCGAAAAAAACAAAAACCGGTACGTTTACCAACTGACATTCGACTAGAGCCGAAATCATAATAATAATCAGCCATAAAACGAGAATCATAGCTACTAATACCACTAAAACGAGCAACATCACTGACACGATCATCGCGACAACAAATAGGACAAAGAGGTTTGCCAGAAGATGAAGAATTCGGTGTATTGGAGGATGATGGATTTGTTTTTTTCGGTGGTTGTGGTCTCACACGAACTAAATGAAAATGTTCAACTGTATATCGAACTCTCATAAAGCAATCGCTTTTCTATTCATTGATAATTAAATTACTAGTGCACTGCTTAAGTATAAAACAGGGGCATAAATATTTGATCATAAACGTCCTTTCTAAATGATTTGATGGAGAATGAAAATGATTCATATTTGATCGATAAACGCATAACTTTGTAATAGCTTTCAGGAATATGGGAGTTATTTATTCTATTTGTGACTGTAAACGATTACACTTTTTGGAACAATGAAGAGATATTAATAGGATATGAAATAAGTATATTTAGAGCGATATCTATATTATTTAGCCTTTCGAAAATGAATAAAATCAGAAACGACAAGTAATAATAGATATGATGAAGCTTTTAGCGATTGTGTTTACAATTTGATTTCATAATCTCCATGAAAATAAATTTCGGAAGGCTCTATGATTTGTCTTAAGCAAGCAATGATATCCGTTCAACTGAAGAAATAATAAATTTGTTTGTCTGTTCCATCTATGAATCTCAAACAAGTTGTTGAAGCCAGCTTACTGTTTGTATCACGAATAAAAATGCATCAAAAAGTAGTTGTAACTCATATAATGAAAAAATAGGTCAGTTATTCTATTGATAAGTTATACAACAGACATCTTTCATTGATCGAATTGAATTTATTTCTACTATGAGGAGCCTTCATGGAGTCACCGTTTCATTTCTCATTTGTTTTTTTTTTCTGTCGACTACTACTATTATAATCTCAAGTTGAGAAATTACAGAACCGAGTTTTTACTCATTGCTTTTGACTATCTTAATGTTCAACATTATGAGACAATATCACATTTATAGTTCGTCAGTCTCGATCAGCAAATGAATTGAATTGTTACAAAATAAATGAATTCATTGCTATCTATGTCACTTATTCATTTATAGGAGTTCAGTTCTTCTCAATGGCTTTCATAATTGAGTTGCAAATAAAAGACAAATCACATGACATGGTATCAAAAATCATTGCATCAGTCATGTGGGTATGACGTTCTTCATTTCAATCTTAATCTTCTCCAATCATACTGGCATACTCTTAAAAAAAAACTGTCTATCGAATGAGCTCAGAGCATTGCCTTTCGATTGTCTTGTAGCTCTCTCAAAATAAGAAAGAAAATAAAAAGCATTGCTTTCTTTACGTATACAGCTGATTATGGCATACCAAAAAGATCTTGATTAGACGATTGAGTGTCAGATACAGCTCCTATTTTTTTCGTGCAGCCTCCTACAAGAAATGTTACTGATTAACTTGTATAGAAAAGTAATCAATCTTACCACCCATTGTCACATGTACATGAACGACTGTGTAAATAGTTGATTCAATTCCAATACTGCAAATGTGTGTACACACTCAAACCAAAGTATTTTTCAACGTGTCCTTTTGAGTGTTTCTAATAGTGCATACGAAAAAGAAATACATTTACTTTTATGTATGAAAAACAACTGAAATAACAAGATGATTGAAAAGCAACTGTTTGAATAACAAAGAAATAATGCAGATTCACAGCACACATGCACAGTCAATTTTGCTTCGTATAGATTATTACAATAATACTAATTTTTTTTTGTGTTATGCTAGTCATCCGAGAAATAGGAAGCTTCGTTCGATACTAAATCAGGTAATAATACAGTATTGATATCTATGTTACAAGTCTATTATCGATCATTTATGTCATGCGCGTACAAGTAAAGCTACTCGAGAAATAAACTAGGAATTCTAGTAAGCACAACAAAATTTTCATAAACTAACTGGCTTTGGGTCTAGGTCTCCGATGAGAAAAAACTAACAGCTATACTGACGCATACTCATACTCACACCTATAACCTCGACTAATAGTAATGATATAGATTATTTTTCCTCTCATCTTGTTAATATTGAGATTGTGTTACAATCCCGTTAATAAGAAAATAATGCACTAGAACTTCACATGGCTTATTTACACAAATTATTTTTCAAACACAATATATATCTTTTTCAGTCACACTATGTGAAAATTTAATGATCATATCAACAAAAAATAGGAATGTGAATTCGGTCTATTGAATGAGATTATTTCTCAATCGACACGAAAATATTTGCTTCAAAACCAAGAATATCTTTACATCTATGGACTTTATCGGATCAATGCGCTAAATCAACAAAAGATTTCATTTGTGTTAGTATAAAAAAAAAAAGTGAATCACTTTTGATAAATTCAGAAAAAAGTCATTTGATATTTAGTATACGGAAATGAAGAATGATTCACATTGAAAAAAAAAATAAAAAAAAGTATCTGTATAACTTTTCTTCAAGAAGTATATATGCAAACATGTTATTCATCTGGCTACTCGTTTGAAATGTTGCAAGTCATCACTAACAACAAAAAAACAGTGTCGATTAGTTAGAAAAGAAACAGAGGTATATCAGCAACGGCTAAACTTGTTTTTCTTGTACGAGAATTGAATTTTAGTTTTCTTTCATTCTTTGAATTTCTATTTAATGTTCTGTTGTGTTTTTTCTTATTTATTATGTAATTTTTTTTTCATTTATTTAAATTTAGTTTTCTTGTACTAACGAGGAAATTCTTCCAGATGTCCCCCACTCCTTCGATTTCAATGATGCTTTGCGTATTGATGCTGTTTAGTATTCTAGTAAAAAATTTTAAAAGATTTGAGTTCCTATCATTTCCTTCAAAAAGTTATGAACATTTTAATTTTGCTGCTATAGTGTATGACATACAGTGTGAGCAATAGGATAGCATGACGACAAAAAAATGAAATATCTTTGCATTAGTTCAATCTTGTTTGTTGTTAGTAGAAGTGTATTCAACGTTTTCTTTTTTCATGAGAATAAGGTAAGCAAATACTATTTTCAAGCGCTATTGTTGGTATCATGAAAGTGACGCTACCTGTTATCAAATAAAAAAAAATACATGCGTAATATTCCATAGATAAGTTTCAATTGTCATCTAGGACATTAATAAGAACGAAAAAAACCAAACTTTATACGTCATTCTATATCAATGTCCATAGAGCAAGCTCTCAAAATGATCTACATCTAATGCTAAAATTTATGTTCCATATGTCAAACGCATAATTATAGTCCTTTGGGTATTAAAACACTAACTTTCTTGCAAATACTAATGTCTCATGTTTGAAAATTTGAAATTTTGTAACTTTTGATTAGTTCTGAAAATTTTGTTTGTGTGTATCAGCATAAAATCGTTCCTAAAGTTTGTTTCAACTTGTTCCTACTAGCTTCTGAGATAACAATTGAAAATTATCTATGAAACGTTACACATGTACTTTTTCTTTTATTTGATAACAGGTAACATTACTTTCATGATACCACCAATAGCACTTGAAATTAGTATTTGCTTACCGTATTCGTTAAAAAAAAAAAGAAAACTTTGAATAAATTTCGATTAACAACAAGCAAATCAGTGTATTTCATGAAATCGGTATGAATGATATTCTATTGTATGTCATACACTATAGGAACAAATTTAAAATGTTCATAACTTTTTGAAGGAAATGGTAGAGGAACTCAAATCTTTTAAACTTTTTTTTTACTAGAATACTAAACCGCATCGATAGACAAAAAAACAATTGTAATCGGAAGTGGGGGAAGCATCTGAAAAAGTTCTCTCGTTAATTAAGACTGTATATGAATAAAACTTATTTCTTTTGCTGATAAAATCTGTATTTTTACAAATCAAATTTTAGTTTTAACATTGAGCCCTTTTTTTCCGAATCATAAATCATATTCGTATTTTAAATTCATGAGTTTAACAGTAGTGTGATAATTTGGCCTAATTATGGTCAATTTTTGTTGACTATCAATATAATTGGATTCACTGTAAGAGAATTCAAAGCTTTTGAATCATACTTTAGAATTCCAAAGGTAAACGTCCATAGAATTTCTTTCTTGCAAGATAAACGCAATTGAAAATTGTCAAAAGAATGAAGTCATTTTCAGTGTTTTTTTGAACTATGAGAATCTGTATTGTTAAATAATTAACAAATTTCTGAATTCTGCTTGACAAAGCATTTTGAAACATCTAAATTTTCTCTGTATCAAACAGAAATCGTAACAAAATCTGTGGTATCGGAAAACTACTTATCTAGTAGTTATAGAAATAGATTATAAGAGCTTTTATTTTATTATAGAAAAGCATATTTAAAATCTTAAATGTCACTCATGAGAAAAAACAAAATGAAAGAACGACTGATACAGTTCGTAACGGGTACATTTCGACATATAACTATGTAGATAGATGCATGTGCATTAGATGATTTTCGGTATAAATCTTTTAGTTTTTGATACATATTCAGTCCATTCTATACCAAAACTTTTTGCTAGTTCTTCTTCTTCACGTATGACACGTCTTTTAATAGACAATATTGTCACCAAACAAAATATTATAAATCCTATAGGACCAAATTGAATTTGTAACCATGTACTATTTGGAAACAAATTTTTCAATCGTTGATGAACAAAAAACATTCCGAATGCTAAGATACAAACAAATGTATACGATGGATGGCGAACATAAGCATAGGGACCAGTCTTGATTAGTTTATGAGTATTACGAATAGTTATTTCAAAGGTAAACAATTTTCCCAATATTTTGTAACACCAAATTCTTCCAAAGCCACCGATAATCATTAAGATGTATCCAAGTATTGAAATAGATGTAAGAGGTAAGGAATTAATAGATGTTGATATTTGTGGAAATAATATTGAAATTAAAGCTGGCGAAAATGTTTGAAGAAATAGATATAAGGCTTGACATAAAGTGGAAATCCACGTCAAAAGCTGACCAATTTTAGGTGTAGAGAAAATTAAAAATTTTGAACCAATACCTTCATGTGGAACGTAATCATCGGTTGAACTAAGATTTGGATTTGAGATACCAATATGATAGAGAAGAGTTGTAAAAAAAAGAAGAAATATTTGAAATAATGAATGCATATCGTTAGATACACTTTGCATGTTGAATTAAAATAACAAAAAGAAATATTTTTCTTCATTATATATCTTCACAATTTTATTTTATGTTTCGTTTGTGTATTTAAGATAAACAACAAAACATTTGACCTTTGTATGTGTCACGTTAACTTTCTCATTTGATTCGTAGGGAATATTATTCGTTATTTCTTGTATTGCGCAAAGAAAAAAAAAATCACCTGACATTTGTAAATATGAGAAAAAAAAACGAAAGAGATATGGTTTATTTATTGTACTTTTGGTTTTTGTAAATCATTTATAGATTAATTTCCAATCATCGAAAAAAAGCATCTACATTTCTTCAGTTTTTCAATTGATTAGTTGAATGTATAATTTAAGATTCATTTGAGTTGTTGCATAGAAAACGGATACGTGCTCATTCATTTTTTTTTTTTCATAAACCAAAAGTACCTGTATGGATCTATTTTCACAAAAAAGTTTCTTACTTTTCCATAATGCCATTGACTGAAGAAATTCAACAAAAGACTAAGAGACACTTGTAGAGAATTAAATTGGATGATCAAGGCATCTGTAGAAGACACCAAATGGAAAATAAATTTGCAAAAAGAATGAATTGTTTACGTGAGGTATTCCTTAGTGCTGAAAATCAATACTATACGAATCTCAAAGAAAAGACTTAGATTCTAAGAATAGTTTTTCTGATCTTGTGATATATTAAACTCTTTCGTTATGCAGCAAACTTGTTAACGCTCGCGTTCAATATCTTGAACATTCATTATTATGATGCACGATTTTTTAAGAGAAATCAATAGTCTTAGTGTTGTCTAAACACAATGAAAGTGAAATATTTGACGAGAGAAGAAATAATTAGAGAACGAAATGTGTGATAATGAATGAAAAAATATATTTTATTTCTATTTCAAATCAAAAATCTCGACAAAGAAAATATTCAAATCAAATAAAAGATTCGAACTATCATTCTTATATTAATAGAGAATGTGTGTTAATGCTTTATTATTTCCTTCAATTAAGGACAAGAAGAACAAAAAAACATAATCAATATGATTGAGAAAATGAATTTCAAACTTCATGATAAAATTTAAACATCATATTTGTCATTCTTTTGTTAAACTGTTGCAAGATTTGTTGTTTGAAAAATACGACAATATCTCTGAGAAGATGAACTGAAAATATTTTTAGAGAAATTTATTAATATTGAAGTGACTATAAAATGTATAGTATGTCCTTGGACGATGATATAAAATACCTATGTGTGTTATTTATAATTCAAAATTAGTTTCATATGGTCGTATCACATGCTGCTTACCAATCATCATCGATGATTAATGATGTTATCTAATTTTATTTGATTACTATGTCATGAGCTGATTACTAGAATAACGAGACGACTCGACCAATCAGTATGACATGAGAACTATTAGTTCGAAATAGCGAAACCATAATAGAATTGACAACTATACTAAAAGAAAAGAAGAATATTCAATTCAAAATAGAACATATCTTAGAGTCGCTAGAGCATTTCAAAATTATGAAACCAATCGATTTTTTTGAATCTCTTTAATTGATTAAGATAACCTTCTTGAAGGGTAATTTAGTAGTATTTCATGTAATTTTTCGTATACATTGAATAATAATT